CTTCTCTGACTCATACTCGTCAACATAGTCTTGTTTGTCGGCTTCGGGAAGGTCTCGCCACATAGACCCAATAATCTTGCCTATCTCCCAAAGTTTCAGATCATTATTGGCAGCTTTCACTTGATCCCAAACCTTGACAGAGAGATGCATACGTTTACATTAAGTATGTATGATTCTGTAATGGCAAAGCTGTTTTTGTTAGCAGATATTCAAACTCCACAATGACTTGCATGAAATAAAAAATAAAGAAATACCATATTTACTCTGAAAAATGTTCACAAATGTAACAATAATGATAATGTAAATAAGCTGGACAATATGGACAAAATATAAGTTTAACATGTTCTCCTGGTATTACACAAGTGGGTTATGAATCTGTCATGGCTACACTTTGAATCACAGTGAATATGGAATATACTGTTTTATTGTTTCCTTAGAGCATTTCTAACAGCAAATGTGTAATCTTTTCTTTGGTTGAAAAATAACAATTTGACACTTTAATCAAACATGTAATAGTTTTATAAAGAACTTAAGAACAAACCTAATGTCTAGCATAAATTATATTTCTTGTTCTTATTGACTGGTCTGTGCTGATGAAAAAAACAGGTGTAAATGACATTTAGTAGCAATTCCACAAAAAGACTCAATACAAAAAAATCAACCTAATGATCAAGGAATCATTAAAGCATTATCATTTTTTTCTACATATAATCAGTTACAAGTTTTATTTGACTTTTTGTAAACATTACATGCAAGCAAAATATAACATTCATAAAACATTGGAGCAAATCAATGTAATGTGCTTTTTTCAGTTGACTGTATGTATGCCTGTACTTGTAAAATGTGATCTTATCTATCTTTAGATTGCATGACATTTAAAAAATTGACCCAATGCTGCCTGGGTTGGCATGTTCATACATGTCATGCCCACTCAGTTTAGTTTCTTAATTGTCTCTACACAAAGATGGTTCTATGAGTACTTGAGGCCCTACCATGCTAGCACTTTTACCATCAATTTTTGCATTTCTATATGAACTTTTTGTTTGGTAATGAACTGACCCTATCACACTACTTAGGCAGAAAACATTGCCATATAAACAAACATGGCGCTATCGGAGTGAGGTCCAAGGAATCACACACACACTTTCATATACATATAATATTGTTTTAAAGAAATATTATTATGTATCTTGTAGATACAAATGTTCTAAAATATGAGCTCATGTTTTCATTCACTGATTCTACCTAATTTATCAATAAAAAAAATATTCTAGCTGTAAAGATCCTCTGTAGCACAAGATCAAAAAGAAAATTCGTCAGACGGAAACAGTCGTAACTGTCTTCCTCTGGGAGGTGTTCCGATTGCAAATGATACTTGGAGAAAGCCTCAAATTCAGACAGAAACAAAAAAATTGACGAAAAAAGAGCTAGTGTGATAGGGTCTTCAGTCACCAAGGAGTTAATTACTAGTAAGACATATATCACCTATTTAACCTTTTCCTATATTTTCAGAAATATTTCTTTTAATTTTTATTTCATCATTATAATGTCTATAATAATAACGACAAAATCAATATTGATAGCATTAGTAAAAATTGCCTTTTTCCTGAAAACCCAAGGAAAAGGGAAATAAGGTGAGATCACAAGATCTTGTTGTTTCCTTGGTGACTGAGCACTTGTGGAGAAATCTTGCGAACTAGAATGAACATCACATTTTCCTGGTGGCACTAGGTGGGGAAGAAGAGGAAGAAAGATAGTAACAAAAAAGAGGAATCAAAGGAAAAAGACAGTAAAGGAGAAAAAAGAGCAAGGAGAAAAAGGAAAAGAAAAAAGAAAAGTGAAAAAAGCCATTATTTCAAAACTTACCTTCCGTGAGTACCGCATGTAAGGCATGAGTGGCTTGTCTGGGGCCTTGGGAGGTTTTGGGATCCTTCCCTCTCCGCTGTGCTGGAATCCACAAAGGTTGGGTTCTGTAAGCTCTGACTACAACAGAACTGTCTCTTTCTCACTCACAGATAGGTGATTAAGAACAAATACATTTGGGACAAGAAAGGAAGAAAATACAGGGAGCTGAAACAGTGATTACTGATCTTCATTTCTACATGCGAACTGGTTATTGAAGTCAGTTGTATACGATTATTACCAATATAATTCATTTCTATTAGGATTTACTTAAAATGGAAGGTAGGCTAATAATATTGCAAAAAGAAATTGGAGGAAAGTGGGAATACAAATCAAGCAATGACTTAATGTCCTTAACAGTAACTTATCAAAGAAGATATAGTATGCAGAATACTTGATGCTTTTCAGCATCTTATCTGCGATATCTTTAAAGAATTCTACTTGAGGAAAAATGTGGAGGAAGGGGTAGAATTAAGTCTTTTAATTACTTAATATACTTAAAAGTAGTTACCGGTTGCGTCTTACAATCTTACTGGCTAATCAAATTTAATCAAATGGATGGTGGGATAAGCTTTACCAACAACATCAATGAACTTGTTCTCATCAACATCTGCTATGATAATCAAAACCAAAAATGCAAAAACATGCAATAAATAATATCAGCAGCAGTATTATCATGAAAATATCACACTTTTTCTTTTCTTCTTTTTCATTTGTTTATTAACACATATTTCACAGAACTAATGACGCACCGATCTCTTATAAGTACCTTACTCACCCCCTTCCCAGTCCCCATCTTCTGCGGGTTAAAGGCTGGGTTGCCATGGTGTGGGGTCGTGAAGGGGCTGGGAACGTTGGCCTCACCCACTCCTTTGGAGGAGGAGGGGGTGCTAGGGGTGCGCGCCAGTCGGTCTGCAGGGCGGCCCGTAGGGGAGAAGCAAACAAGCAGAAAATAATGACAAACACGTGGTGGGCCTTTCAAAACGACTAAAAACATAAATAAACAAGAACTGAAAAAATTGCAATCTTCAAGTTTTTTTTTTCTCCTACACCCCTTCTCCTTCCATATCAAACGATACCTATAAGGAATGGGTATAATGACTGCTAATACTTTTCTGCTTTCATTTATTTAAAAAAGCAAAATCCTCTAAACCTGCAAGAGAACAATTAAAAGAAAATAAAAGACTGTAGGTTTCTCAGTACACAAAAACATCAGATAACTTAACAATATACAAAAACTAAGTATGACCTCAGAAATGTGAAACATTTTTCTAAGAGATAATAAGAAATAACAAGAATAATTGTGAGAAGTGAAGAGAAATGAGAATGAGAAATAGTGAAAGTCACAGAACAGCAATACATCAATTACACAATAACAATCTAGAACAAAAGTTGTCCTCTATTTTGGTTAAAAGACTTTAGATATTAAGGCAGAGCACAGCCAAGGTAAACAGCAAGCAAAAGCAACACTGAATGATGGTACTTCTTTTAACCACTAGCCGACGGGTGGCATGTACGTACATGCCATGGCTGATGTGGACCGAAAAACAGATGGCATCATGTCCAGTCCCGTGCCACTGGCTCGTTGGAACGAGTTTGTTTTTCTCCAATAGTAACGGCTTCATTTATCTGGTAAAGATTTTGGGCAATAGAACCTATAATGAAGGTACACCTACAAACGTATAATACTTTTATGAATTATAGAAAAATACAGAGCTTTTAGGTGCCAAATGTTGCTCGCAAACTACCGAACTAGCCAGGCACAAACGGGAAACTGCCGATGCATGCCAACAATCCCATTATTATGTCCACTTACCAAACTTTTACACCCGTTGGCATTGGTTTAATATAGATAAGATGTTGAAACTTGTTTCTTGCAAGAAAAATGAACAAATAAAATAAATCATAAAAATTGTGACTACTCTTGAGAATTATCTACAAACACATCAAAGTAATGTTTTTGTAACTGATTTGCATTTCTGAGTTGCACATGAACTTCGAATATTAAAAGCAATTTCTGAATTATGTTACGTAGATACAAGTAACACAAAAATGGTCTAGTAAAGAAAAAATGCTAGTAACAAAATATAAGAAAAAACAACCAATTAAAAATATTTGTATTAACAATATTAAAAGATAATATTCAAAGTAATAACAATTATAGTCAAAACTAATCAAAAGAAACAAAAATAATGACAAAAAAGAAAAAATAACAACAATAATAATGATAACAAAATAATGAAAATAACAATAAGAAAAAAAGGTGGCACATCTGCTAACATGTTTACATTCCTGTGCTAATGCACATGAAATTGCTTGCATTTGCATATCATATTCATCTTGCCAGTACTAGGATACAATCGGGATAAATGAGAAAGTACTTGATGCTTTCCAAATAATAATTACAAAAGGGGGAGGAAAAAAGGGGTTGAAGTAGGAGGAGGAGGAGATAATGAAGAAACATAAAAAGGAAGAAAACAAGAGAAGAAAAACACTTCTTTATCTGTCTTTGCTTCTTGCAAGATAGTGCTTGCAGTGCCATCTGCATGCTTACATTCCAATATAAAGTCACCCATTCAATTGTGGAATAATGAGCCAGATATAGTGTGTTCCTTGATGTGCAAACATCCCTATTCTGAGAAATGGAGGAACAATGATTACCCTCCACAAAATTCAATTAATAAAAACAATTAAAAATCCAATTATGATGATAATATGATAAACACAGTGCAATAGCTTTAAGTATTTTTTAATTCACTATTGAGCTATGTTATTTTAAACTCTGATGTCTATAAATGCAATTTCACCAAAAATGTAACAGTGCAGAATAGTCAGAAGGAATGAATGCAGAAAAAGCATGCATGCTTCCCTGCATACTCCAAGCACAGCATGCAAACAGCAACTGCCAACATCTACTACTTCTAATCAATATTTCTCTCCCCTTCTTTAAAGTAAACAAGTCAACCCTATCTCTCCAGCACTAATCCAGTATAGAAGATTCAGTCACCACCTCTTGCTTGCACATTCCACCAACTGCCAAGATCTTTTATGCATGTTTACTTGGGGTGAAGAAGTAATGACTGGAAACAAACTAGCAC